GGAATCACATCCGCCAGGTCGTAGTGTTGATAAACAGACATTTATGGCTTTTTATAGGGAGAACGCTTGCCAGGCGAAAACCCACCACATACTGGAACACTGCCGCTGAACTATTTGCTAGAACGGGTTAAACCCGAACCACCCAGCTGGCACCACAAAGAGGTTGTTCGGCTAGATAGTCCTTGTGAATTTTACCGCGACAAGATGAGTTATCTGCAGGTCTGTTTGCAGACGTTTGAGTTGAAGTGCGTCGCGGAAGTGGACGACTGTATATTCTCAGTTGTGAGTGGAAAGCTATATATTCGACGGCAAGGTAAAAAATCAGATTAATACTCACGAGCCAAGTGGGTGTATTACGTGCGTCTTACGAGAATTGATTGCGGAAGTCAGAGAAGAGAGAAGAAAACGGAGCAAGCAATAGAGCTGGGATGATTTCTTTCTCACATGTTCGGACAGGTGAGCCAAGACTTTGCAGAAGACCTCACACCTTCGGGTAGCGGGAGCGCGGAAAAGATTGGGGGCTGGGACCGTGTTTCAAACCTCTTGCCTCCGATGGAGCCACCAGACTAATAGATTGGGTTTCGACCCACGCGATTTGCACGCAAGGAAATCCAAAGAAACGGGGTTAAGTGAACTGATCTCAAAAGTGTTTCACCTAGGAACCAAACAGTGTTCCTTGTTATGACTTACACCGGCGGTTTTGTCCCTTACTGCTTCGCTGACACGTTTTCGGGACCGGCGGTGTGGAGCAGCTGGACGATTTTGTGATAACTGTCTGTCACTCCTACGTCATCCACTTCATGAAAACTTTGGGTCCACTTGGCTACCTCGTCAGCACGCGGACTGCGTTTCGGCCATTGTATATTCCATGTCAAAAGGGATTAATCTTGATAATTCCAACAGGTTCACCCACACTTCTGATAACAAGTGTCCGGTGCGGTGACGGATGATAGTGCTGCAATCGGGAGCTCCGATGAACTGCGCAGTGGTCCAAATAGCATTCCACCTAAACTCGATTTCTTGGGGATAAGTCCTATATATATATATATATATATATATATATATATATATATATATATATATATATATATATTCACAATCTGATCGCAGATGTGCCATCAGAACCATGATGAAATAATGGAAGGAAATGAAATACAAGTAAATGAAACGATTTTTTCGGTTTTACACATGCCCTTTTGATATTTTTTGTTTTAAAGTTTTATGTTAAATGAGACGTTAAATAATAGATAAAACAGTTGAACAGCACTGTCTCCACTGATGCCTGTTGCACGCCTCCAATGTTTCTAACTACTGGCAGTCGGAATCGCGTGGTCCTCCCATCCTGGAAGACAGACCGGTCCGATGGATGCTAAGCTTGAGATTGCCTTCTTCATGCTTCTCCACGTCGTTGGTTGTCCAACCGCGGCACTTTTTTCATTCGCTTCCGGGGAGTGCAAATAACGCTCGACGAGGAAGGCGATAGGCCGGGGTGTGCAATAAGTGGCCGGGCCAACGTATGCGGTGTCGGAGAATAACCGTTTGGAGGCATGAGCTGTTTGCTCCAAACACTCGCCGTCAGACTTCTGCGTTACTCAGGTGATGCTGCCACCACACGCGAGCAATCTTACGCAGACGATGCTCAAAAACTGGAAATAGTTTTAAGTCTTCCTAGTGAGTCGGCTAGGTCTCACAACCGTACGTGAGGACTCCACGGACAGAGGCAATGTATACCCTCTCATTGAGTTTGAGACTGACGTCGCGATGGCGCCATAAGTGTCTCAGTCTGACGAATGCAAGGTGAGCCTTTGCGATCCGTTGTGATACATCATCTTCAATACAGCCACCAGCTGTGATGCAACTCCCTAGATAAGTGAAGGAGTGGACTTGTTTCAGGACGCCACCAGCAATGGTGAGGATCGGCACAGGCATTTGCCAATCCTGGAGTAGTACTTTACATTTGTCTGGCGTGAAACCCAAACCATACTTAGATGCCTCCAATGCTAAGCGCTTCAAAGCGCTCTGGACGGCTTGTGGAACATCCCCGAGCAAAGCGATATCATAGGTGCAGTCCAAGTCCGCGACTCTGTCACCTAGGAGAAGCTCAATACCATCGTTTGGAGAGCTTTCCAATGCTCGTTGGACGACAAGTGCAATGGCAAAGTTGAACAGGAAAGGTGAGATAGGGCAACCTGGGTGCACGCCGCTGGTGACAGCAAACGAAGGGGAAAGCGTGCCCTGACTTTGTTAGACGTGTGACTGTGGAGATCCTTCAAGATGGTTACAAATTTGTCGGGCACACCTTCACTTGGTAGACAGTTCTACAACACAGATCTATCTACTGAGTCAAAAGTCGCTCGGATGTCAGAGAACACTACGATTGTTGGCCGTCGGTGGACGTGACGGAGTTCCAGAAATTGGCGGTGTGAAGATGTGGTCAATGAAACCTCGACCTGGACGGAAACAAGCTTGTTCCTCTCGGTAAACGCTTTTTCTAGTTTCTAAGAGCCTGTGGAGTAGAAAAGACATGAAAATCTTGGAGGCAAAAGAGATCAACGAGATTCCGCGATAATTGGCGCAATCCCCGCGGGAGCCTTTCTTGTGAATCGGGACAATGAACGACTCTCCCCATGCAATTGGGACTTTTTCATCGGTCCAAATTCTCGTGAACACTGATAGTATCTTGTTGACAAGTGTATTCCCGCCATCTTTGAATAGAGCCGGGGCAGGCTGTCAGGACCGGGAACTTTATGACGCTACAAAGATTGAATTGCACTTCGGATCTCTGTTTCAGTACGAGCAACTGTGACTATAGGCCAAGCACCGTCCGAGAGAAACGGAGGTGTCACAGTAGGCTTTGCTGAGCATGTAAGTTGGAAGGCAAAATGCTCTGCCCAGCGACCCATGCGCCTATGCAGGTTGGTGATTTTCGTGCCGTCTGACTCAAAAATCGTCTGACTGACAGCGTGTGAATGGCAACCAGTGGTCCTGATGAGGCAAAATAGACTACGGAAGTTTCCAGCCGATGCGGCGGCTTCCATCACAGCAGCACGTTTTGACCACCAGGATTCACGGTCAGAGAAAAGACTTGACTTTAAGTGATGAAGGATAGACTGAGGAAGTTCATGGTGCTAGGCATCGGCAGGCACAGCTTGTCGACAATCCAGATCTTACCGAAATCCAGCTTCTAGTTGGACAGCGGGTGAGTCCGCAGCTGGAAAACCCAGGGTACAGCATTGCTTTTTGCAAAATCGACCAGTGTTAATCAGCGTGCAGAGCCTGGGGCAGATCGAGATTTTTGTGAAGCCTCTGCTGATACTGCGTTTTCACCGTTGGGTCCTCCAACTTGTGAGTGTTTAGTCGGGTTTGTTTGGCTCTCGGTGAACCGCTGAAACGCATGCAAATTATCGCACATAACAGTGCATAGTCACTGTCAACAAAAGTTAACCAAAATGATCGGCAATCGAGTACGCTGCCGCGCCACATGCAAGTTATGGCTGTGATCAATTTGTGACCAGCGCTGGGTTGACGATGGAGGACGCCAGATGGCATAGTGGCGTCCAAGGTGACGAAAACTCGTACTGGAGAGGAAAAGTTGGTGACAAAGACTGAGCAATCCCCGGTATCAGAGCGAAAATCATCATACGCGTGCGGTCTACCTAGGTAGTGATGGAACTGACCAAAATTCGTTTCAACGCAAACCGCGATCCACATTGAGCTTACACGTCGCAAACCGATTCACACGAGTGTATCAAAATGACCCCTCCAATAAGTGGGCGGACGGTTTGTACACAGAGCATCCTGATAGGTTTGCCATGCATAGGGCTGAGACAGCTTCACAGTTCCTAAATGAGGAAAACGTTTATTATGCTTCGTGGCCCCAGAAAGAGCGGCAGATAAAGACGGCATCCTATCATTTGAAACATGTGGCCTTATTGCTGGTCAGCCAGGGGAGGACACCAAGTGACACATCGGCGCACAATGTGTTGAGGATGGCGTCGCTAAGAATCAGTCGATGTTCGGCGCACAGTTGCAGTAAACGCGCACCACTAGTTGTGCACTGAGAGATAAGCCCGAGCTTATCACCTAGCTGAGGGAGGGGGTTCAGATGACTTTGCGCATTCATATCATTCGAAACTGGATAAGTAACTAAGCAAGTAACACAACGAATCAGCGCGAAAGGATGGTGATAAATGTCTCTGCAGTCCGTGAGGCATAGGCAGAGATAGCAAATAGGCCGCATATAGCGCCATTCTGTGCGCTAACCTTTGTCGACGTTGTCAGAAAAGCTTAACACAGTCAACTGACAATAGCTCAGATAAGGAGCTAAGAACGACACCCGATTCAGGTTACTCTCGGAAGCGTGCAATCAACAGTTAAATAATAAGCATGGTTCAGCCGACCTCGGGCAAGTCACACATGCCAACGCTCGGTTTATCCGGGGTGCGTGCAGGTTGAATAGAGTTCATTTCTCACATAGGATAGAGCAGAGAGCAGCACGTTTTAACTTGTGCCCTGCAGTTACAATCACAGAGTGTGACAACTCGATCGCGTCGACATGAAAACAGTACCTACCGGTCACAGAGAATTTTTACCCGTTCATTTATCGGGATGATTATCTCATCTACAGTGACTAGTTTAGTAGGAAAGATGCAGCACTACTCAACAGGGCTTAGGTAGCTTTTCACACTTTTCTGCTATGTAGTTATTTGGCATAGTCTCTCCTCGTTTCCATAAGTATTGTCAATGGGCAGTGCTTCCATAAGAACAGGGCAATGGTGTTTGGGTCCATGGCGCATCGGTGCTCGGAACATATTCGGTGGAAGGAACACTAGATAAAGTAGAATTAATAGTGCAACAGTTCCGATCACCTGCCCGTTAAGCAGCTTGGATACGGAAGTAAGAGGGCTATCGCAGAAACGGATACCTCGTTAGTTATATAGACAAAGCAATGGGGTAAAAGCAACACATAGCATGGCGTTACTAGCGAGAATGTGGCTTACCAGAATATTAACAACTGTACAGATAAGTGAGCCCCCGACTGCCAAGTCACATGTTTGAAGTAACATGGATGAATGACCAGCCACAGCGGAATTATCGCATATTGCGTAGGCGCAGGATGTTGGTGGATTTGACGTGGCTATCAGCAAAACAGGGGAGTCTTGTGAGGCAGCACGCTCCGTGTTGGGAAGTTTATCGAGACCGGGGGAAGCAGTGCGGTCATTGCACCCAGGTGGGGAAAACGACGGTGGTGCAGCGGATGTTAGTGAAGTGGAAACCGCAGGAGGGTTTGAAGGATGCGGTGCCTCCGACTCACGGTGCGCAGGTGCCCTTTGTGGGATGCGGGCCTAATGAATAAAATGGATGGTGGCAAGTTCGGATGTGATGAAAGACAAAGGTTGGCGAGAAGCATTGTGTAGCACAAAGATCCAACATGCAAAATAGAGGGCAAAAGCAAAATAGTCCTTATTGATAGGTTCGGGGAAGAAGAAGATGAGGCTGCGAACAAAACTAGTCCGTGTTTCAGAGGAACCGTATGAAAATGCACGAGGATTTGCATGCGATTGGAGGTAACGCCTCGTAGTTTAACCCAGCTGGGTGCTGTATTGAAAATCAGCACACATCGAAGCAGTCAGACTGTCGACACGCGGAACACACGACCAAGGTACCGGAAGCCCTAGTGCCGAACACTAGGTGACGAGATACATTATCAATATTGCTCGGTTCTCCCACCAGAAATAAACAACAATGTGTAAACATCGATGGTGGAAATGGTCAGCCTCCGAAAATCCTTAGCACGCATCACAGCGTTATAACCTATTTGCTTAACTGAGGTTTTGAAAAATGATAGGAGCTATAGTAATGCGTGCAGTAATCGCATTGACGATGTGATCAAAAGAGGTGACACAGATCTCTATGTAAGCAAATCGGTCTGGAGTTTCGAGCGGTTCTTCCATGATTGTGGAAATTGATAGCATGTGGACCCAGTCTTTACGCTATGAAAGCGCAAAGCCCATACCAGTCGATCTAGTGGGGCTCGCATAGCAGATGGGCTCGAATCAAAGCGTTAAATCGTCTGCGTACACTAAGATGGACCGTCGGTTGGTCCACAAACAAGAAATGTGAGGGAGGTGGAGCCACGCATAAGTATTTCGATCACAAACGTAAAAAGGAATGCATAAACAGGGCAACCCTGAGATACTCCAGTTGTCATGAGAAATCCAGAGGGATTACAGGAAATGCTTTCATGGCCCCAAGACTTGCAGTGTGGGGGCATTAGGTGGGGGAAACTTCTCAGATACTGCTTCACCACAAATAATTAAAATCAAAGAATTTAAAAGTAGTATGAAAAGAAAAACAGTGATGTTGTTCGACTACTTGGCGACGGGGAGAAGACGATCAACTAATCCCTTACGGAGGCGGAGGCTATGCCGAACGTTACCAGTTTGCTTTTAACGAGGATCAATGAGCTGCCCTAGCATAATGCGCATCAGTGATTGGGAGTCCATGGAGTAAAGGCTGACACAAAAAAGATTTTCAACTCAAGCCCCCTAGCTCAATCCGAAGATGACGGTTGACAACCACCAAACAGAAGGCATTTTCCCACTGCACTAAATGTTGAACAGTAGTTAAGGAAGCCAATGGCGAGTTATCATCGTAGTTTCGCAACAGCCGTGCTAAACTATCTGAGCCAGGTGCCTTATTCTACTTTAGCAGTTCCAGCTCATATCGGGTCTAGTCAATAGTAAGATTCGGTGTGTCAACGTTCCATCTGAGTTCAAATGAACCAAACATTTGGCATACAGTATCGGCCGAAACGTTCTTCAAAAAGTTCAGCCAAGTCAACGAGAAAGAGAGCAAATCAGTTACGTATTTATCTCCGTAAAGTTGCACACACATGAGCCCATCGTGTATCCCTGCATCGGAACGATACAGGACCCTAAGGTCGTGCGACGGTTTGCGTATCTCTTCGACCAGTTGAGCAAAACTGGATGGAGAGCTACTTCCACCAGGTTGGCTAACGGATAGAGGTAAAACAAAATCGGTCTTCTGGTTCTCCAGGTTGGGGGTTGGAGATAGGATGGTATCCAGTGCTATAAAATCGAACAGTTACCACAACAACGCTGCCTTGCGGGCAGGTTTTCATGCCAAAGGCTTTGGTTGAGGATCCAAATCGTTTCTTGTCTAGGTCTGGGCGCCATGCAAGTATCTCAGCTTACGTACAACCATGATTATTTGTTAAAACTTCAACCACATCCTGCATCGGCCGTCGCACAGATTATCAAGGCTCGCCTTGTCTGCTGCGTACAACAGAGCGGATAAGCGAAAACAGGCTACTGCTGGCGTCCCCCTTCTTTCCTTTCCACCCGTCACTCTTACTTCTTTCACGACCCTGCTACTAATCTTCCTTCTACAGTTTCCAGCTTAATTGACAGCCACCGCAATATCAATGTAGTCCTATCATCTGTAGCTATCTTCCCGTATCACCACACTGGACACTAATCGCCATCATCATCATCATCATCATCATCATCATCATCATCATCATACACGTTAGCTAGAGGTGGGGAACACCTCAGCTACTGTGCCGCAATACATAGAGAAAAAGGAGAGAAAAAAACTGGTGCAAGCTGGCTGAGCTACCGGTAACGGATGGACATCGTACCGGTAAGCTACCAGCCGGCTACTGTGCATCAAAAAAAATTACTATGCAAAATTATATAAGGCTAAATAATGAGATCGTGGTTGGAGGGGGAGGCTAAGAAGGATGGGGTGGGACAAAGAAACTCACAGCACGAACGCCACTGAGGTTTGTTCCTTGCCATATCAGCAAGTGTGTCCAACCAAACGTGCTCATCGTCTTTCGGACCCCAACCAGGGAGCCGAGACGTTCCAACCGAGGCCAGCTCAGAAGTGAGGGCCTTCATTCCTCTGGATTAAGTCATCGCTTGGCCACCCCTCCTCTTCTTCCATCTACACCCCCGGCGCGCAAACAACACACGTCGCGGTAGTCGGTGGGCTGGAATGCGTAACACGTGGTCGAGCCATCGGAGCCTGATGCGTGAAATAACACTAATCGCCAACGGCTCCTCATAAGACCATACTGTCTGCTTTCCTTGGTGGCGTTCAACGGTCGCACTCTAGGACAAATAGGTCAAAAGACTACACTCGCACGCATGTTGGACACCCTGAGTATGGAAGTGTGTCGAAAAAAGGAACAATGACACTCACGGCTTGTTCTCGCAAATCCGGAGACGCTGATGCGGTAGCCACAGGGCAAGCTGAGGTGGGCATCGTTCTCAACTCCAATACGGCTCTCTGTCGTGCATGCTTGTGTTAACCAGGAGGCTACATAACGCAACCAAACGGAGTGTTTTTATCGGCCGGTGACCGGAAGGATTGCATGCCTGGCTTGCAATCCTCAAATTACCGATTCGAATGCGTGTAGGGGCGAGCGTGTTCGCGGTATACTCAGCCCACGCGCAACTGGTGGTGGTCGCATGGCAGCAAAGCGTCGGTGCAGTGTGCCGGCGTACTGCTGATGACTTCTTTTTCTTTCTTTTCAGCTCCAAGGCTGATTAAGTTCCCGCGAGCAGCAGTTTATGTGTAGACCTTTTGACAACATCGACTAAGATTGATTCACGAGGTACCACTAGGCACTGTCTATTTGTCGTTACTACTTACGCCACTACCGACTACAGTTCTTATGCTGCCAAGGACACTTTCTATTACGAAATGAACACGCTACTACGCAGTGTTACCAATACAGATATCATGGTACTTGAAGGGGGTATGGATGCGAAAGCAAGTCGTCTGACACTTCAGAAGCTCAGCTAAGCAAGGACTTGATTCCGACCAGATGAGTGGACGTCTGTTGCAACTGTGTGTGAAGCACTGAACGTTTCTTAGTAGCACTGCTTTTTGACACAGAGAGCGACAAAGGGCCATTTGGCGTCCTTCTGTAGCTGGCTGACGACCCAAATAGACTACACTGGTGATGTGGTTCCATCCTGGATGCGACCCGTTCTGGAGTACTTGCGTCGACTCTGATCATGCCTTGGTAGGCCGCAGCTTTTCCACGAAATTTACCGGGAGGCATACTAATCGAACCCCAGATTGGTAAACGAGAAGTTATCCCATCCCTCGGTCAGGTGAACCTACCAGAATGCCTTGTGTAAAAAACAGAAAAAAGGAGATCGTTAGTAGTATACGGGTACGCAGTACCGATGCCTTGCTGCCGTACAACCACCAACAGTCGCGCGTGGGTTAAGCATACTGCGAGAGTGGCCTGGTCCCCTACGCAGGCTCGAAGTCACGGCCTTAGAATACAAGACTGGCTTGTGATCCTTAAGGCTACGGGCCCTACGTACTGAACTTTCCCACTCTCGAGCTAATGATGCAGAACTTCCACAGGATAGAATCTCTGCCGCCATGCACGAAGCGGTAGCCTCTGCTTGCACACTATCATTCGCCACCGCACTAGTCGTTGAAAATCCGGGAGGTCGGTGAACCTCTTGGAATTCAGAACAAAACTTCCGGTTGGATCTGAGCGCATTGTAGTCAGACGGACTACTAGGCGCGAACTAAAGCTGAATCCGCGTGCTGACAAGGAAGCCCGATGGATCAGCAGGGCGACAGAAATGAAGGAGACGGGAGGGGTAGCATTCTCTCCCAACTGATCCGTACCGCTAGTCCCAAGAAACCAGGCGAAAGTGAGACAATCATACACAACGTAAGCACCCTGATTCACAACAAGGAGCGCCGGCTGCCTCATCTGGAGGAGCGCTTTCGATAGCAGTTCAGTTGGCTCCCTGTGCCCAGATCTCTTCCTACTCAGGTGATGCAGACTGAGCCATGGTCGGCTAGTTTGGAGGCTCCATCGGAGGCTGAGGTCCGAAACGCAATCATAGCTCCTAATCGCTTTCGAGCTGCTGGCCCGGATTCACTATCACGCGCATTATCTAAGGATGGTGGTAAGGCCCTTTGCACAGCACTGCCCTCTCTGTTTGAACAGGCCTGGAAAAAGGAGGCCATCACAGCTAACTGGGGTAAATCTACCATAGTAGCAATATACAAGAAGGGCAGTCGCACGGACTGCGCTAACCACAGGGCTATTAGCCTAACACCGGTGGTGAAAAATTATTAGCCTCCATCCTCGTTCGTCGCCTCACTGGAAAACGGGAACCTGGGAGTAGGAAAGAGCAGGCAGGTTTCCTTCCAGGACCGGGCTCCATAGATCATATATCCACTCTGCGACAGGTGTTAGCACAGCGTCATACGTATCACAGACCGACAATGGCTGTGCTCCTGGACTTCAGTAGTGCGTTCGACTCAGTCGATTGATCCATTCTGTCTGAAATACTTGTGCGGAAAGGTGTTCCCATTAAATATGCGGGCATCTTACGTGCTCCGTACCCGAAGATCACAGTATGGTGGACTTAAGACAAACACTACTGCACCAATTACCAGCAGTATGGAAGTGCCAGGAATCCAAACGGTAATGAACCAGCAGCATGCCATAATAACTCCACGACAGAAACGGAACAGTTGGGAAGCGCAGACATATGCGCGCGTGGAATGGACACACGCAATTTACGCTACATAACCACTAGACACCGAAGCAACACGTGCTATGCAACCTCCAACAGAGTGCGTAGATGAGCGGAAGATTCGTTGGACAGAACTGATTAGTACCATAAACAAGTCCGTCCGCATCTCGGGTTCTTACAACAGACTGCCTAGGGGTCTGTGGTGACTCAACGGATATCTTTCCGACGACAAGTGGGGTTTGTCAGGGTTGTGCAATTTCCACATATTTGTTCAACATTGTCGTGGACTCCATCATGGATGTAGATTGTGGATGCATCATAAGAGGCAGGTATTGAGGTTCTGTCTCATGACAATCTAGTTAGTTGATTTTGATTTTGCGGACGACAGCGAGGCAGCCCAATTAATTCTGAATAACCTCTCTAAAGTGGTCCCATCATTTGGAATGCGCTTCGCACCTTGAAAGTGAAGCGTTGTTGCAAGACCACAACCCGCTTGACGATCTCTTAACTTTTGAAAGCGAAGAACTCGATGTAGTTGATCAATTCACTTGATTTGGCGGCTGCAACGAGGGGTGCATAACAACTAAAGTCGGTTCACGTATTTCAGAAGCCAGAACTACCTTCTGGAATTTACAACATATAAAGCATGGGAATGGGGTTCTCCTCGATCCAAAAGGACGTCTTTACAATGACACAGGGAGGACCGTCCTATTCTGTGGTAGTGTAACTTGGCCCTTTCAATCTGAGAATCTAAAGCGCCTTCGAGACTTGGACCATCACAGGCTGCGAAGTATCCGCAACTAGGATGCGCGTAGGCGAGTGCTAGGCAACGATAATCAGGCTATTTCCGTAGAACAACAAATACCAATGGATACATTGCATTGGCTTGGGCACGTACTACGTATGCCCAGTCACCACATATCCATGAAGGTCTTGTTTTGTTCACCAGATGTGCCGTGTGTAAGGCTTGAGGTAAGAAAATGTTAACTTGGCGACGGAAAATGAAGTCACTGATTTGGCACCGCTGGCCCGTCTAGCCTTCCATGCTGGAGCCTACGTGATATGTCTTGCGCTTGGCTCCAGACTTTGCAAGACATGGCTCGTAGTCGGTACCAATGGCGCGCGTGCTGTCGCCTCCTAGCCCAACTGCCTCTTTAAAATGTGTTTGGTCCTGGGATAGCTGAGGAGTAATGGCTAGTTGTGATACAGGTTAGTAAAAGCCACAAAAACCGTCTTGCCGACGCCACCTTATTTTTCCACGATAGCCAGTTGTTTGTAAGGGTACGTTGTTTACAAGATGTAAGCGCATATGCACTACACGTTTGTTCGGGGCATTAAGGTTTTGCGCTACGTCCCCCTTTTCTTCCTCTTATTGTTCTTCGTTCAGCAGGTCATTGTGGTTATACGACAGTGAAGCGCCAGCTAAAATGAGTTGTGTACTGCTGTTGATAATGATGACTACCATATACACGTTCGCCGGATGAGTTGGAAAAACACTCGGCTGTTCTCGACGGTGCTGACCTTGGTCACCTGGCGAGTTGATGGTGGTACTTGTTTCAAAATTGTTGGACATAGACAATACTGCTACATGCCTTATGCGTCGTGTGAATTTTCATAATTCGTGCACTGATCTAACTGTTGACCATTTTAAGCTACTTCGTGGATTTCAGCAAGAGTTTGTAAGAAGTACCAAAACAAAATGTAGCCAGAGAAAATTGAGAAACCTCGCAAACCAGTAGGTGTGGCGAGAGGTTCCGCCGCTACGAGCTCCGTTTATTCGCCCCAACAATCGGACATGAGCCCATTTATCCAGCGGAGGCGACCTCTCCGGAGCGATGTCCAACCGCTCAGCCGGTATACCAGTGTTGCATCCTACGGGCACTGACGTCCCAGTGTGCGATAGCTTAAGTGTTGAAGGCCAGTGGATGAGGAAGAGGCATGACTTTTCATGCACAAATAGCCCAATCGCGTAAGGCATGAGCTTGGCTGGTAGCCAATGAAACCTGCGCAGACTATGTGTGCGGATACCCTCAACAGTATCATGCAGCAGGTAACTAAGGACGAAAATCGCACACTCATGGTCATCAAGTAGTGTGGTACAGTATTCACCAAAATGGAGGGGGACAGAACCGCTGTGTAGAGGTAGTCATCAAACGCAGCAAAAACAGTGGGCCAAGAAAAGGGACTGATAGGAGCAACAGGAGCCGTACGGAAAGGTATAACAGGAAACAAGGTGGTAACCATTACTTAATTCCCAATCTAAATAGAATTGTGATGACATGAGTTGGCAGTACAACAAACCTGGAGTTAAGTCACAAGATTGTCCAATGTCAAGAAATTGTGTGCACAAAAAATAAGATGGAAATCAGGCACGCACAGTGAACGTGGAGGAATGAGAAGCAGCAGTTGGGTCACACGTGCGACTAAAGCACAACCAATATAGTGCGAATGGGGACCAGAGTGAAGGAAACACAAGTAGCGGAGAGACACAATGGATAATGGATGATTAAATCAACAGACAAATCTAAAGAGATGGAATGAAATACGATTGGACTTACTTGGAAATGAACCACGGGATCGAAATCCACAGGAGCTGAAACCTGAGAGCTGGTAATGCACCGGGAACAACCGTTTTGTTTGGAATGCGCGAGCCTAGGGAAAGGAGTATGAAAAACATTTGATACAAAGTACGTCGTCTCTACCGACTGAGGAATTTAAAGGGGAAATTAAACAATTCAAGGAGAATATTAAATGTTCTGGGTGATAAATAATCGACCAGTTAGCTCAAAACTGACGCATCTAATCAGCTACGACCAGACGAAGGAATGGTAATGGAAACCATAGCAAAAAGAGTCTAACCACGAAACTGTGGCACATACGTACAGTACAAGTTAACTGAAGTTAAGGAACACACTTCAGCTAATGTTCCGCAATAAAAATAGATAAAATAAATGAAAAAGCGAGATACAACACATTGCAAAATGCAATATAAAAAGCCAAAAAAGGAATATGACACTTAATATCATTGTACCCACCCCGTTCAAGAACGTGGTTGGAGGGTGAAGAGATGCAGAAGAGGGGGGGGGAAAGAAAACCACAATACAAAAGCTTATGGGGGCGGCACTTCGTCATGTCAACAAGTGGACACAACCAAAACGTGTCCAGCGTTATTCAGACCTCAGCCCGACAGAAGGCAGAAACTAACCGACACCAAGTTCGAAGTGAGAGTCTGCACCAAATCATCTCTTCGCCTCCTCCTTTTCTATCAACAACCCGGTGCGTAAACAACGCACGTCGGTGGGTCGGCATGCGCAAAACGAGGTCAAGTCAACGGAATCTGGCACGTGAAATGATGGTGATGAGCGGCTCACTTCCTCTTCTCGTACCACAAACAAGGCGCCGAATACGCTCACACGATGTCCTCACCAGGTATGAGCCAAACTGCGAAGGCACCGGAGGTTGAACGTAACCAACCACTTTACCTCTGCCGATCTAATAGGCCAAATTTCACAACCATACAGCAGGGTCGGACGTAGGGCTGCATTGTACAGTCTACTCTTCAGGAAGAGAGTGATGTCGAGCCGGCGCCACAGATAGCGGAGGTTGAGAAAAATGCCTCGAGATTTTTCCACACGGTTAGTGACGCCATTTTTTATTCCACTGGTGCTGATACAGCTGCCTCGATAGTTGAATCTCTAAACGAGTTCTAGCTCATACCCACCGAGGGTTAGCGCGGGACGAAGTCACTGCCAATCTTGGAAGAAGGCTTTGCACTTTGATGGTGCAAAGCAAAGCCCAAAGCGGCTGACAGCCAGTGCTAATCTGTGTAGTGCTGATTGGCATGTTTGCGATCTGTCACAGATGACGGCAGTGTCGTTATCATACTAGAAATCAATAAGTCATTCACCCGGGAGAAGCTCCGCACTCTACAAGTCGTGTCCAGTGAAGGCGATCTCCATGACTTCGTCAATAGCAAAGTCGAAGAGGAAAGCTGACAGCAGCTATCTTTGTCTCATACCGCTGGAGATATTGAAGGGCGGCGACAACTTGCCGTGAGCGCTCACTCTGTCCGGGCTACGCGCGTAAAGCACTCGGATAATATTTACATATTTCTTGGGCACACCTTTCCTTAGCAGAGAGTCCCAAAGGGCGCATCGATCCACTGAATCGAAGGGACCTCTGACATCGAGGAAAATGGCAACGGTGGGCCGCCAATATGTGTGACGTTGCCCCAACAATTGATATGCAGCGAAGATGTGATCGATACAACCAAGACATCGACGAAACCAGGCGTGCTCCTCGCGAATTTGGTTTTTGCTAGTGCCAGCCAGTTTATAGAGGACGACAGAAGCAAATAACCTGGAGAGAATGAAGATCAGACTGATCCCTCCATGGTTTCCGCAATCCGAACGCAAGCCTCTCCCGAAGACTGGGACAATAACGGAGCGGCTCCAACCGGTTGGAAAAGTTTCTTGCTCCCACAGCTTCACTAACAAATGATGCAATCAGCTACAAGAGCAGGTCCCTCGAATTTGGAGAGGGCTGGATGTAGATCATCTAATCCCGCGAACTTTATTCAAATTCAGCACTCCAATTTCACGTTCAACTTCGGAGCAAGAGAGTGGAATCAAAGGGACAACCCAGGGAGGAGAGCAATCAATGGCCGATGAGAAAGCTGACAATTCCAGCCGATTAAATTGCTTTTCAAAGTGATCGGCCCAATGCTCCAAGCGTTTTGACAAGTTGTGGATAGGCTGTGCACTCTTGTCACATACAGTTTCATTAACACCAGGTTTACTACTGCTCATTTCCAGTGTCCGACACAATTAATTCCGATAGTTACAAAGGACAGCGGCTATCTCCATCTCCGAAGCACGATGAGACTACTATGCGTCACGGTATCTCTTCAGACTAACACGCAGTCGCGCTCTGGAATCTTTGCGAGTCTCGTGCTCACTCACAATCAGAATGCGTCGGCGAGCATCCAAAAGTTCAAGAGGCTACGTAGAGACCCAACGTTCAGCTTGGCCATATGATTTACTAAGTGAGGATTTGCCTGCTGCTAATAACGTCAGTGACCTTCAACTGTACTCAGTAAGCGTCTACTCAACCCGGATGCCAACGTCCTTCGATATGCATTCAGAAGATCTGGCTTCACTAGTGGCGAGTGTCTATGCACTCAGAGCGCCGTCGCGGGCGTCTGCCAAAATGCACCGACAAATGAACACATACAAATGCATGGTCCGTGTCCACACATGTGCTCCAACTCGAGCGATAGTTTCGGACACATCTTCTCCAACAGCAACTGATCGTGATGTTGTCGATTTGCGTACATGAATAGTGGGCGTTCGGTCGCCCTTCTGCAGGTGCTGTTTCGGAGGTTAGTGCTCGCGACAAATAAACAGGCACATTCACACAAATGAAATAATCGCATGTCGTAATCATTACGGGAGCCTAGACCGTGTTGGCCACCCAGATGCGGCTCATTAGTAGTCGGTTTTCCAACGAGCATTTAGATCCCCAGCCAGCACTAAAGTATCAGTGTCAGGAAGAAGCGCGTTCAATTAATGACAGTCGGCACTATAATTTGTGAGAGTGTAGACAGCAATTACAAAGTTGCAAGGTTTGTCCCCATTCGGCAAAGAAGCATACGAAAGTGAGAGGGGGGAAATGACAAGGAGCAGAAGGAAAATGCACATGGAAAAGAAAAACTGGGTAATAATGATGAAGGACATGACAGCTAAACGCAGAAAATACAACACAACAGCACCATCAGGATGGCTAATGCTATTAACTAGAGACTAAAGTCAGAAGGGCTACCGATGTAAGAGGATTCATGCAAAAAGCACTTTGCACTTTAAAGATACAAGATGCCAGAGGAAAATATGGGAAAGTATGAAAGAAATCTCACTGTGGAAGGTATTCGGTGTTGCTCGCTCTCAACAATTTGTTCCACGGCCGATTGCGTCCACATCTGGGCGAATGGGGTAGATAGCCGCAGATAGGGGTGAAACTCGAGATACAATGACTGACGCCTCAATCATCAGGCCAATGAAATTAGTGAGCAGCACTTGGCACTTAAGTTAAGAATACAATATTGTGCTTTGGAGTGCCTACGGTGTGTGACACGTAGCCTTAAGGATCACAAGCCTGTCTTGTAATCTGAGGACGCGGGTTCCAGTCTGTGTAAGAACCGGGCGACCCTCGCAATATTCATAGCCCACATGCAACTGGTGGTGGTTGCGCGGCAGCGAAGCGTTGGTACTGCTTACCGGCGTTCTGCTGATGCATTTACGTAATCTTGGTTAGGGCTTCGGATTGATCTGAATTAGACCTACAAAGGCCAACACTGAAGTCTCATTGCGCTTTTCAGATAGTCAAACCGCAGGTTGATATCGTGCACACAATCTAGATCAACATTTCTTGCGGGAAACAGTTTAGTATTCACAACAGGCGACTACAGAAGAAGGCATTCCAAGGTATAGGTCAAGATAAAACTGAGTACGTGGAAATGAAACAGCTATGTTGAAGACTGCTGGATATCGGGAGTCCGATAATTCGTTGTAGACCGTGATGCGACTTGAGGTGTTCGAGTAAAGAAAACGTGTTCACGCAGTCCATGGGAGCATATATCCGTTCAAGTATGACTGTACCGCTGCAGAGTGAAAATGTAAGCAAAACAATCCAAGCTAGGTTGGAAGTCTGCTTGCTTTTCTCTCCTCCCTTTTTCTGTTGCGAAATGGAAGGAGGGTGGGAACGGAGGTCTACAAAGTTGTCCGTGCATGAGTCAAGCTGGTAATTCGGCGGTTATTACAATCGTTTCAGCCGCCTTTCAAGTATACCACCAGCTTGGCCGACTAAGCACCATCTTATGTGACAGTTTCCCCATTCCCTATCTCTTCGGACTGAGTCAATCCTGTAATGACGGCTTTAGCAGCGTTTTTAAACGATTAGGGCACGAGATAATCCGGACTATCAGCGGGCTCTGGACCACAAACTCAGACGAAGTCCATGAGTTAAATGGTCATGGTTCAGTCCACACAAAGCAGCTGAGACCTGAAACATTAGAATTGAGCCTGATACCATCTGTCGAACCAGCAAAACAGCGTTCGTTATTGTGAAGAAGGACGCTGGTGCTGTCCCTGAGTGCCACACTGACAAACAGTTTCATGGTAGACCGACGCGAATTAGCAGATACGGCCAGGAATAACAACCCGCCTCTCCTGTCTCCTCCATTTCGTAAGCATTCTGAGTCCACTATGTTTCACAGTTAACTTGCAGACACTGTTCTAGCTCACAAGCATCTAGTCGCATTGTACCAGGTGACAGTAGGGGTTTGGCTTCAGATTTTCAATAGGGTCACCTACTCTTCGGGTATCCCGTGTTCGCATCGCGGGCGACTGGTAGTGCCACGAGTAGAAGATCGAAGCACCCCCCGGGGTGGCAGCGGAAGGCATGTGGAGAATCATGACCGGACCCAAACGAGTAGACGTTCAAGACAATGTGTTTTAGACATCACTTTAGCCATTCAGGAGACAATCAGCGTGAAATGCATAAATCAGCTTGAAAGGTTTCACAATGAGAATCTCCACAATAGCTGAACCGATAAGCAACTGGACAGCTGACGTGAACAGATGAACGAATGACGACGCGGAGCGACGGCGGGGAGCTCTGGTACCTGGATTACGAGTGCAATAAATGAATAACTATGCCGCATTTTGTCAAGCATATTTCTGTGGCTGATAATGCATTATTTACTTCTAGGGCATTATTTTTTATAGTACTTGGAATCATAAGCAGCATAAAACCCAAGCGACTCAGTAAACGGGCATCAAGTACAAAATGTGCTATATACCCCCAAAGAGGCGAACATCGGTCACGAGCTCAACCTCGACATTTCATTCACGGTCCTCAATCGCGGTCGAAAGTCTCACGTTGTCAAACTACTTGAGGTCTTCGTTATCGAACTAGAGCTCTTACCGCTCTGTGTGCTGAAACTGATGTTCAACTTAGCGTTGTAGCAAAAGGTGCGCCAATCGACCACGAACTGAGCTCACGTGATTTGTCCTTCTTGTGTCGATTAATGGTTGCATGTAAGTGGCTCATGAGAAGGCACGAAATGACAGCACTAGCTCCGAATTCGATATTCCCATTTGAAACTATAAAGATAATTGCTTATTTAAAATATGGCCAGTATATACGAGCCAGCAAGCAGAGTAGATGCAAAAGAAATACGTGTTCTAAGCAATGCCCTCGTCCCGTCACAGCTAGCACTGATTTCACGAAATTGCTAAACAACGCGCCAATCCGAGGCCTGTACAGTGGTACCCAGGAGATCCAAAAACTATATGCACAACAGAGCCCACCAACTGTTAAGAACCGTGCAATCTAACGAATGGTTTCGTGAATGAAACATACAAGCGTATTGATCGTCACGCGCGTATTCTCAAGGCTGAGCGTATACATTAATAAGGATGATAAAGAGTAAGGCGATAATAATGTAAGTCGGTGGCAGTGACACGCCAAAAATTCAAGGTGGTGCATCGCTGATGAACCGGAATCATGAATTGCGCTAGAAATCAAGAGCGGGAGTTATTGTAGGCCCGAAATAGTGAACCGGTATTAAAAAGTCCAATGCTTGGGAGGTTTGCAGACTCAGTGATCAGACCACAAAGTAAAGAACATGTGGTCGCATTCACTTTCGTTGACTCGCACCGTCGTTGGTCTTATTCGACAGCTAACAGATATATAAACTCAACCCTAGACCAGCATAAGTGGAACTGCAAACAAAGGCTATTAATGACGGTGAAACATCGTGGTTATACATTGCACGCCTTACCACGGATAAGTGTGTAACGAGTCCAGGGTGAGAATTAAATCCTCGCTGCATCGCCGTATTAACAGCAGTGTGATAAAACTAACAGCGCTACCTTGTGCAAGTGAGGTGGCGTATATTGAGCGTGGGAATTTGAGATACTCCGCCCCGCATGTTAGATACGGTTAACAATTAGTGGGGTGTGCACACGAGTTGACCGAGCACATACGGCACACAAAGAGCAAGACACTAGTAGGTTGATAAATAGACCAAGTGTGGTCGAGATAATAACTGAGGTGTCTCCCATCTCTAGCTAACATGCATAACGATAATGATGTGGTCGAGACAAAATCACCTAAATATTCTTTGGAAAAACAAGAGAAACTCAACCAAATTACCAGGAATCATAATATGTGTCGCAAGAAGAGAAAGAGTAGTGGGGAACCGACGCCGACGTAGCAGACGCAGGACATGAAGAGCGATGAGGTTGGGTTATTGCCATAGAGTGATTAAAGGTGAAGGGATACAAGTCAAAGGAAAGTTGCGAACACATATTGACGTCTCCATCTGAGTGGACCAACGAACGGGTGCCGAGATCCAACTCAATGAAATCATCTACATTCCTGACCAGTTCGCGCGCGTTGAGACCGTTGTTTGAGGAGCGCAATGGTGGCTGACCTCGGATCACGTTTGCCTGCGAGCAAAATCTATGCGGGAAGCCGGTAGATGGGGATCTCAAACACGTGAAATCGGCGTCACCCAGAGAAGGCAATCGTGTATCAGATGCGGTGACATGTGTTACGCGACTGTGTATTCTTGGAGATGATGGGTTGAAGGAGGACGGGATATCGGGATTCGAAGAAGAGGCCACCGTCCGAAAGTTGGAATCATGCAGTGACATAGAAGTGCATGACTGAGACACTGCAATAGATGATGTAGGTGAGGATCAGGACACGAAAGATTTGCCAAATATAAAAAACTAAAAATTGGTTCGGTGTAATGAGTCGGAAACAATCCGAACGATGGGACGAATCGCCACGAAAAAAGTCGCAACGGGGATGTGATTAGGGGAAATGTGGAAAAAGGGAACAACAAAATGAAGATAGGAGCTCATTGAAAATAGGATGAAACGTGAAATAAATAAAATAAAAAAATCAATCCGAAATCTTTTAAGGCTTTCATCCCAGTAGTCCACAAGTTACATATCACAGCCTAGTCCGGATATAGCGTTGAGCGAGAGGACGTCATGGACTCGCCAGCTAGCCACTGTCCGTGACAATGGAAGATAGATCATGCTAAATCCCAGTTAACTCGCAAATTATATAGCTCAGACAACGTCCCCCATGGCTCAGGGGCTTAAGCCTCTGGATAGTTGGCATCGGCCTCTAACGGTCATGGGTTAGATCCCCAGTAGGAGGCCGAGAAAATGCGCAACACTGAGCCCCAGTACAGCGAAACGCGTTTGGTGCCTCTAAGGAATAGGCTTTGCTATGTATCCTGTAAACTGCTGGGATGAAAGTCTGAAAAAATTATAACTAAATTCCGGCTACTCATGAGTATCATAAAATATATGGACTCCCCTAGTTTTAAATGCTACGGATATAGCGTCTAGCGAGAGAACGTCATGGCCTCATCGGCTAGCCACTGTCCGTGACAGAGGAAGATAGGTCGCGCTATATCCCAGTTAGCTTTTAAATTATATAGGTCAATCCGAAAGTAGCTAAAGAACATGAAAGAGCAGGTTACGGAGTCACAGTAACCGTTCACTATGGGAAAGCCAGAACAGTGCCTGAAGCAGACAGACGCAACAAAGTTTGTGGAGTATGACCGAATGCCACCAGTGTAGGTTTAGATGGCTTGGGAACAGGCCAATCACTGTGCAACATCAAACTCATCATGCAACTGCCGCTGCGCAGTTTTAGCTGCAAACAAATGACCGGGTTAACGAAACAAGATATCCCTGGTGTCACCTCTCTTTGGCCCCTTCCACACGCTATTACTTTCCTTACCGTTCCAACGTAAGTGGTCACAGGTGCATTAATAATGATGTGTAACCATCTGTATGCACGCCACCAAATGGTGCAATATGCCACATGATGTCAGACGCCACTCCCCAGGTGATGATGTCCAATTTGCTCTGTGCTCAGACGGAGGTCAAAGGGTTGAACTTATACCAATTGGATACCAAATGGTGTTGACGTGTACGGCGTCTCTGGGACAAACATGCAAGGCCATTAGACAGTTATTGAGCCCAATGTCTCTAGGCTATCCTCACGGCGTTGGTTACGCGCATTCACAGAGGTTAATGCAGCTGAAGTGGACAATATGCTCAGCTCCACGGCTAATTGAATTGAATTAGACAGACGATCGGTCGTGTGCAGACAGTTTCACAACGTCCATTGGGGTAACAGATGGGATAGCGCCAGAGGTGGACTGTTCGTGTTTTCGACTGACGCTGCATTCTGCTATGATTCAAATAGTGTCAAGGCACATGCTACCAACTTAACACTCTACTAGACAGTGCTGCTAAATCGGACATCACTCAAATTGTTGGGGAAGACAATAAATCGTCTCAGATCCTCATAAGCTCTGTTAGATTGGAAGTGAATGGTTAGTACCAAGCATCAGACAATTGATAGGAGTTATTGAAGCTGCGTAATGGAAAACGTTTGAGCACTACTACATCGGATTCACTCGCATCCTGAACATTTAAAAATGCTGGTAAGTTTCTTCGTAAAGAATCATCACATCGTGTAAGGAGATAGGGAAGAAGACTGATGTGAATAAGTAAATAAGATTTATTCTCGACTGTGTAAGTCGGTTAAGCTGGTAACATTCTTGAAGGGCAGCAGAGACATTAATGTCAACTATAGGATTACCAGATTGATGCCGTAATGATGAATTTGTTGGATTGAATTCTTATCTGAAGCTTCAGCGTGGAACAGGAAACAAGGAAAATAGAAGAAAAGGAAGGTTTCTAACCGAGGTGGAACCGTATTGATCGCATTTGTACTCTGCAGTAGACGCGAAAGGAATACCACACTAACCCCATGACGGAAATTGCTGTCTCACAGTTTCAGGAGTGCGTTCCACTCGGATGTAACCCTACTCTTTTCCTTGCACCCGCAATGATCTGTTCACATGAAACATAGTCAAAATTTGCCTACCCGGATACCTCAAATCTACGATGGATTGTAGTAAACCATTTTGATAGCAAATAGAAATTACTGAGGTTGCTCTATCCCCCAAAGCGCTCCTTTGGAAAGGCGTTAGTGTGGCACCCGTGGGAATACAAGTCGATCTATATTGTGCGAACATCGCATTGCTGTCAGACAGTCTAGAAAGTAAAATGAGCCGTCCCACTACCTAGCACATCTTGCATCTTTGAAGAGAAACGTGCCCTGTAAAACCGCAAACCTTCTGTTCGACCATCGTTCCTTTTGAGTATAGCAGGAGATGGATGATCAATTCATCCAATTGGACAACAGTATTAGCGGCGCCGAGTGTACTATGATAGATATCGGTACACGTGTTGAGCTACTCTCATGAGTGCCTGACACTATTGATATCAATAGGGAATTCTCTCGGTCTTTGCAACTATGCATGCAAAACAACAGTGACGGATGAACTTGGTCCTTTCAGGGTAAAAATCTCAGATGCATCCCTCTCCTCGACTAGTAGAGAGGAGAAATCATTGCCTGTGTCAGAGGGAACAAGCATATTCGTAACAATGGTATGAGCAGGCGACCACTGGTCGATGTTGGTCAGAATCGTTTGTTGGATCGACATATGGGACTAAAAAGGTTACACTGGTTCTGGCACGTGCTACATATGCTCGCTCGCAGCATACCGGTGGGGTTAATGTGTAAGGGTTGAGGGGCAATTGTGGACCTGAAAGATGAAGTTTCAAGGTGCGGGTGGTTCGTCTGACCTTCAAATTTGAGGTCCATGAGATATAGCTGCAAGTAACTCGAGGCCTTACAGAACATGTTTCGTAATCACCACTTGCTGCGTGCTTGCTATCGCCTCCTACTCGGATCGCTTGCTTGAGGCACATGCGAGGCGAAGTTTAAATGGTAGACTGGCGGTCGAAATGTGTGGTAGTGAATGTCACAAGTAGTGTCTCGTTGAAGTTCTCAAAATGTAGGGCACACTGTTGACTAAAAAGAGTGGGGTCAGTTGGTTTAGCGAAGACGAGATTTAATAGGGGGAATCACGCATAGTCACTTTACAATACAGGATTTAAATCCTAAAGCTGGATCACAGTTAGAGGGACCGATTCGTTCAATATAAGCGATCTACACTGCCTACACACGAATTCATTAATCATATCCTAAGGGCTACTTCCACTATCGTTGAAACAGTGAGAAGCTATCTAAACTGTCGAATCTAAGTGATAGCGGTTAAAATGAGAGCAAGGAATGTGATAAAAGTGCAAACGCAAAGTAAAAACGGCGAAACATACCGCTGAACGAGATTATGTCAGTTGCGTCGGTGATTTAAAGCCTGTCAGTAGCGCTGATGAACAAGGTTTTGAGCCCGCCATCCACTAGCTCCGTAGAAGAGGAAAGAACGCCCACAAAGTGCTACACAAAAGAAGAGATTAAGACAAGGAATAACGCAAATGAACCAAACTGCGGTTGATAACAGCATATGAAAACGCGTAGCTACTTTTTGCTCGATCAGACGGTCAAACTAACTTGCCGGTAGAGGGAAAGTAGTAATGGCCACACAGCATTTCGGTCGAGTGTTAACAAACACTAAGACGAAGATTGGTAAGTATAAGAGAAACAAATAGGATTCGGGTGTAACAAGCAGTCGCACGTTTGAGACTTTCTACCTATTCAAAATTTGTCGAATACAGGTCGCCTTAAAGAGAATTTCGAAATATTAAAGCTATCGTATCATAGTTAACTTGTTGATAGTGGCCCGAAGGCGAGAACGAAACGACCTTAAACTGAATATGTATGTTGTGGCAACATGAATTATACCAATTTTAATAACCGGTATAAAAAGGGTAGGTATGGTGGAACCCAATATAGCTAGGTTCATGTTGAGCGAAAAAACCACGTCGGGTTCAGAACAAAAGGTGGTGGCAAGGGCAAGAAAGAGGGAGAGCAGACTTAAAGTGCACCTATGTCGGGTACGAAATGCATCCACAAATGAACAAATCGTCACCCCACATGAAACACAGGATTAGCTGGAGCAAAGCGCGATATCTCGACTTTATATGCCGAATTTCCTCTAGATGCACCAAAGCAGCAACAGGATAGAGAGTGGTTAAACAGAAGAAAATTTGGAAATGGATAAATAACAACACTAAAACAAATACAATTAATGGAAAATGCCACGCGGATAGCATGAGATAGGGGAACTAGATACCAGTGAACCTTCAAAACATGTTGCACCAAGACTGACAGCACATTTCGAGCTAAGCAAATATTACACGGGTTCTCACCAGCATTATTTACGGACTGGCGGCATCCGGTTCCGCATTTGCCTGTCACTGTTGCGTCCATAGGACAGCCACAGGGCGTTTGCGCCTACACAGGGACCATGGGTGGCTTGCGCTGACCACCCGCACACCCCATATCCAGTGTGAACCCGAAGGAAAAAGACCGGGAGGCGCGTGGATGGGAGCCACATTTCATCAACAGAACCGGCCCACACACTCCATCAACATACACAGCAGTAGCATTCCTGCCTATCTATGTAAGTAATCATGAGCACCGGACGTACACAAGGCGGTGGCTAGGCGCTAGCACGCTCTACACTACATGGAACCACAATATGAGGTTAACACGACCACGAGGACCGTGCATCCCGTCCCCCCAGCAAGGATTTAGTTTGCTGGAGCCAGTAATCGAGTTGGAGGGTGTCAGACAACATTCACATCATGCG